GTGCACCACATGCTTGCTTGATGCCCATTAATACTTATTAACCAGACATGCTGGTGTGTGCCTTTAATACCAGCACTTGGGAGGGAGAAGCTGGCAGATGCTGAGCTTAGTGAGATCTGTCTAAATAAAGGAAAAATTTTAATATTTATACAAATAAAATCCTGCACTCAAAACAAACAAACAAAAACAACAACAACAAAACCCTTCAACTGAGTACCAAGGTCTAAGGGAAATAGAACTGTCCTGAATCTGCACCCCTAGAGCCTTTACTGAGGACAACTACTACTCCATGGAAACCAGAACTATTTGCATTTAATCGGCAGGACCTGCTCAGTAGAGCCTTGTCAACATAGAAGCAGGTTACAAACTGCCTCGTGCTAAGCCACAGACATTACACAACTTACCCACTTATGCTCTTCTTTGTTCTAGAACAGGGTTCTCAGCCTTCCTAACACTGTGACCCTTTATTTCACTGCAACTTCATAACTCTAATTTTGCTGCTGTTAATGAATTTTAAATATCTGATGTTACCCCTGTGGGGTCATGACCTACAGGTTGAGAATCACTGCCCTAGAAGCAAGGAAACATTTACCAGTGTGTAAACAAGTCCAGACAGCACTTGACTGGATCTAGGGTAAATGGCTGTTTTTGTTTTCTTCCCTTGCAGAATTTGAAATGCCAATTATGGGTTTAATGTAAAACCACTGTATGAGCTTTTGTTTTTGTTGTTTGAGACAGGCTCTTGTGCATGTAGCTCCAATTAATCTCTTTAACAATTTCTCCTACAGTTTCTTAGTGTTGGGATATCAGGCACGTACCATCACATCTTGATTCTACCATGTCATTTTAAGTGACACTAGAATCTAGAAAGGACTAAGGGCGTAGCTCAGGGGCTGAGAGCTTGCCTGGCATGCACCAAACCCTTGGGACAACCTTTGTGCATGTTCCCTACCACATCCTTTTCTTACTAAAGATAAGGAATGGAAACTACCCAGCCATTTTACTGGCCAGTCTCAGTGTGAGATATGAGTTACCTCTGCAGTGAACTGTACCACTCTGTTCCCAAATGATGTCTCTGATGCCCCCACCGCAAGTGTAACTGCCTAGAGATTATTGAACTAGTATATCCAGCTGTCTGGGCCTCTCTGATCAGGCTTTGCCAACTGCTGGGCTGGGCATATGGTAAAAGCATTATGAGAAACCCAAAGATGAGAGCAATGGCTCAGGAGACAAAAAACATCCCATAGGGTGCTAGGCTTAGCTAAGGGAAAGCATGTTGCTAAAATCTTGCAGTTACTAGTGGCTGCTCACAGCATCCCTAGGTGACCATAACCTACTGTTATGGCCACCAGAAGGCATAATCTAGTAAGTGGAAAGCTGGTTCATAAAGCAGTGAAGGCTGCTGGAGCTGGTGACAGCTCCGTTCTAACTGGATCTCTGGTTCCTCAAATTGCTTCATCTCAGTATAAACCTTCACACGCCAACAAACAAAAGAACGCCCTAAAGAACAGGACTTTGCTTTGTGTCTGTGGTACATGCCAGAGGACACAGCTGTCTTCTTCTGTCACTCTTTGCCTTATTCCCTTGAGACAGGGTTTCACTGAAGTTGGAGCTCACTGATCTTAGGCTAGGCTGTCTGGCTAGCAATCCTGTCTCCACCCCTGCCCCGCCCAGCCCTGTGGTTACAGGCATGGGTGGACATGCCCTGCTTATACATGGGTGCTGGGGACCTTACCTCAGATGCTCGTTCATGGAGTGTGTGTGTGTACACATACATACACTTATTGACAAATAAAACACTGGCCAATAGAGGCAGGAAGATAGATGGAACTAGGAGACAAGGAGAATTCTGGGAAAGGTAGGCAGAGAGAGGTGCTGCAAAGAGACACCATGTAGAGGAGGAAGGAGTAATAGGTCCAGACCCTTCTCTGGGAAGATAAGACCACATGGAAATACCTAGATTAATAGAATTGGTTAATAATTAAGACAAAGCTAGCCAGTAAGAAGCCCTAGCAATTGACCAACAGTTTAATAATAATATAGCATCTCTGAGTGTTTATTTGGGGCTGAAGGCAGCCGAGGGACCTGGCAGGACAAGAAAAACTCTTAATACCCTACTGCACAACAGTCTCTCAATGGGGATGAAAATGTACATGGAACTCATTTTATACAGGGCTGTTTTACACACCACCCTAAGATTTCCTGGTATGTACCAGGTTTGGTAGTAATGCCTGTAATCCCTGCACTAGGGGAGCAGAGGCAGGAAGATTTTGAAACCAGTCTGAGCTACATGTGAGACTTTGTCTCAAAAAACACCAATACCAGGTTCCTAGCACTCAGGAGGCAGAGGCAAGCAGACCTCTGAGAGTTCAGGGCTACACAGTAACTCCCTCCCCATCTCAAAACAACCCAGAGAAACACCCCCTCCTCAAAGCAACCAAACTAGTATATGTTAAAAATCTGAAGGGAGGTACAATCAGACCTCTAGGTTCCAGCAAAGAGTGGTAAATTAGTATCCCTTCAATGCTCCAAGACCTCTGAGTTTTGCGGATACATTTTCTAGGTGGGTAAAGGCCTATTGGACTTGTATTGTCAAAGAACTTTTAAAGAAAATATCCTGGAATTTGGCTTCTTTAAAAACCAGTGCCACGGGCTGGAGAGATGGCTTGGAGGTTAAAAGCATCCATTGCTTGGTTCCCAGTATCCACGTTGGGTAACTTAAAGTACTGGTAACACCAGGGGATTTGATGCCCTCTTCTGAACTCCATGGGTATTCACACTCACATGTGGGCACGCAGTATTTTAAAAAATAAAATCTTAAAAGAGCAAAGGACCCAAACAGTGTCTAAAATACTATATATTATTTGGAAATTACCCTCTTCTAAGAAGCCCTAGGCAATGAAAAGACCAATAAGAAAACTTGCAAAATCTGTCAAGAAACCAATTTGAAATAAAGAGTATCTGGGGTGGCTCAGTGGGTAAAATTATTTGCTGTGCAACCTGAGTTCTGTTCCTAGAAGAGTCACACATGGTGGCAGCACCTGTTATCCCAGCACTCCTACTGTGAGATGGGAAGTGCCCAGAAGCTTGCTGGGCCAGCCTGCCTGGAGTATGTAGCTTGATAGAGAGACACCCTGCCTCAACAGGTAGGAGAGAACAGACTTCCGAAAGTTACCCTTTAACCTCCCAAAGCACTCTGTGGCATATGTGTACCTACACTCACACACCATACACAATAATGTAACGTTGTACTATACTGAAAGCCACTTGAAATCTCTCCCTCTGTATGCTGACTGAGTCAAGGACCAGGGGTGACTGGGTATGAAAAACATTGGGGCAATATTAACCTTTATCCAAGTTTGCCTCTAGTAGGTCTGCGTAAACCACGACCATACCCATTCATTTCTGCCTGGTGACCAGGTCTTACAAACCTTCCAGGAGCAGATCATGAGCATGCAGCAAAATAAACCAGCTCAATTCCAGAACTTCCAAGAACCCATCTGTCAAAGGGCCTAGATCTAGATTAGAGCGTGGATCCACCACTGTGGGGTAGTGTTGGCACTGGACTCTCATGTCCCACCAAAGACAGTCAGATTCCCGAATTGTCACTCAGTAGAGGCTGACATACACTGGTAGCACGTATCCTTTCCCTCTTTTTTTTTTTTTTTTTTTGTTCTTTTCGAGACAGGGTTTCTCTGTATTGTTTTGGAGGCTGTCCTGGAACTTGCTCTGTAGACCAGGCTGTCCTCAAACTCACAGAGATCTGCCTGCCTCCCAAGTGCTGGGATTAAAGGTGTGGGCCACCAATGCCTGGCTGATCCTTTCCCTCTTGATACTGGCATAAGAAGGTAATCCCCTTGCATTGTGATACAACCTCCTGCGTTTGGCTAGGAATACCAGGCTTAGGAAGAGCTTATCTCCACCAAAACGGCTGAGTCCTACAAGACTTCTGCTCAATTTTCCCCTTTAGCACGGGATTTACTAGATATATTTACTGAGTAAGACATATGAACAAATAGAGACAATCTCTCCTGAGGTCTTACCCAGAAACTATACAGGAAGGATATTAAGCCGTGGTACAGTGATTGGGAATGGTGCAAATTCATTCAGTCCTGAGCTTAGTCTAAAGAGGAACAGTGGGTGTGTCCCTAGAACAATGGAGGGAAGCCTGATTTCACCTTTAACCTGGCCTATAGTTAAAGCCTCAAGCCAAAATGACACTTAGTACATGGCCAAAAGTTGGTTTTGCTGGTATGGTTACAGCAAAAGTTCACCTGCACAGGGCAGGATTTCTACCACCAAGTTAAGCAATTTCATTTTGAAATCACCTCTTTTCTCATTAACCCCGCCCACAAGGCTGTGAATGCCGACACAGCAGGAAGAACAAGCAGTTCTGGTATCCTTGGCTGGAAAGGGCCTGGGCTTCCTTTGAGGACACAGCTCTTTCTCAGCATTTAAACCAGCCCTTCTGATCGACACTTTGCCAGGTTTCCACGATAAACGCTTAAAACCCGTTCTAACACACAACAAAATAAAATCTGTGCTAAGGTGCTCGTTCAGGACCCTAGCCTTCCAGTCATCTGGAGACTATCAAGTAAAATGCTAAAACCAGGCTGGGGAGATGACTCCGTGGAGTAAGCGTCTGCCATGAAAGCAGTGAGGATCTGAGTTCAGATTCCTGGGACCCACACAAAGCCAGAAGCACCAACCTGTCATCCTAGAGTCCCCAGAAGCTCATGGCATACGCAGCAATGACTGCTAGGACTCACACTCAAGGTGTCCTGGATTGCCACAGTGCACCATGGCTTGCACTCATACACACAAAATTAAAAGTAAAACGTTAAAATAAAAGCATTGTTGAGGAGAATCTGGTACCTTACTGGTAGCTCCTCAAGTAATCCTATGTAAATTTTTCTGAGGAATGGGACATGAAGTGTCACGCTCACACCACCATGAACTAACTAAGTGTTCTCGTCTTTCCACCGATGATCACCCCTCAGGGAAATAGCCCAGAAAGGAAGGAAAGCAAACTATGAAGATTTATAGCAGAGCATGGCAGAAGAATGGAAAAATCCACCTGAAACTGTCAGTTTAGAGAACCGCACTGTCTGTTCCTGTAGAAGCTCCAGAGAGACTGGCAGCAAGGACTACATGCTGAGCCCAAACCAGAGAGGGGAAAGCTGCGCGTGGCCGGCCGCTCACAGCAATCTCTTGTCCACCTTCCACTGCCACTGGACCAAAGCCCCTCCAAAGCCGACATTTGACGTGTGCTCTCACCTGTTTGCAGTCCACGTTTGGTTGAAGATAGATGTGTCACTGAAGGCATTGCAGAGGATGAGGGAGTGTACTCTTGGAGACTTGTGAGTGTATTCAGCAAATTTCTGAGCCAAAAAACCTCCCAAAGACGCCCCAAACAGATGGACCTAATTATAAACAAACATAAGGCAGATCCTAAAACACCGAGGTTGCTTCAGTTTTGTGAATCACAGAATATGCCATCACTACCTAGCAGGCTGAAATAGTCGTTAGAAATTTAACAGGCATTTTATTTGAATTTATGTACCCCATTAAGAAAACAATACACTGGAGCGTAAAAACATGGCCCAGCCAGTGTTTGAATCCCAACAGTCATGTGACAAGTCGGTATTCTGCAAATACCTGTAGCGCCAGACCCTGCCTCAGAGGAACAGGTGGAGAGCGACAGTGGCCACTCAACACCCTATCCTCTGCTGACCTCTGCGCGCGCATCTATGCACATGAATACAAGTAAGTCTTAAGCAAGCAAAGACTTCTAAACAACAACAAACTGGACATGGTTGTGGGGAGCGGGGGCGAGTGGATGTGTGTCACCGACACCAGCACAGACATGTCAATGGGAATGGCAACGACTTCCCTTGGACCAAATGTAAATGCTGATGAACAGCTGGCCTTCACCTAAAACCAGTGTGTGCAGACACCACCAACCACAGCTTTCTCCTGGAGGACTGCAACCTGAAGCTGCCCCCTCTCCCTCCTACTGAGATTAGCAAAACCTGCCTCCTTGTTCAGTCGTACACAATAAATTCGCTGAGTTTTTGCTGGTGCATCTCCATCAGAGCACATGGCCTACCCGATCCCCGCTTTTCTATACTTGTGTCTGTCCCGTCTTCTTTCCCTTGTCACCTGAGTCAGGTTTCTAGGATCCTAGAGAGCTTGAGGCCAGCCTGAGCTACATGAAACGTCTCAAATGAAACAAAACAATCATCTAATGCCCCGTCTTAGGGTTTCTATTGCTGCAACAGAACACCATGACCAAAAAGCAAGTTGGGGAGAGGAAAGGGTTTATTTGGCTTACACTTCCACAACATGCTTCATCACTGAAGGAAGTCAGGGCAGGAACTGAAACAGGGCAAGAACCTGGAGTCAGGAGCTGCTGCAGAGGCCATGGAGGGGCACCGCTTACTGGCTTGCTTCCCATGGCTTTCTCAGCCTGCTTTCTTATAGAAGGCAGGACCACCAGCCCAGGGGTGGACCCACCCACAATGGACCGGGCCTTCCCCCATCAATCACTAGCTGAGAAAATGACTTATAGATGAATCTCATGGAGGCATTTCCTCAGCTGAGGCTCCTTCCTCTCTGATGACTTTAGCCTGTGTCAGTTGGCACACAAAACCAGCCAGTACATGCTTTAAAACTAAAACCTTTTTGAGGACATAATTCTGATAAAATCTCAGATTTTATAGCATTTTGATCTTCAGATCAGGGACACTCAACAGATAAAGTGTTTGCAACTACTCCAAAATTTGAGACACCATCCCAAACATTTAAGATAGGGATACTCAACCTGTGTTTACCCATGATACAATGCGAAGAACCTCAGACACATGCTAAGCAGAAGAAGCCAACAAAGGGCCACATGTCATAAAATTACACTTAGGGAAATGTCCAAAGCAGATAAGGTCACAGAGGTTGCAGAGCTGGGAGAAAGATGGGGAGTGACTGACAATAACTTTCTACTTTCATTTTTAAAAATGTGCTTGTGTGTAGACGCAGGTGCACATGTGGCATGGCATGCTTGCGGAGGTCAGAGGATATGGGGGGCAGAGAGGTCCTGGTGCTCACAGATAGGCACTAGGGGGACCAGGAATGTTAAGCATAAAGGGTTGTCTCTTCAAAGGGAGAGATGTAGAACGTGCTTTCTCAGAAGGCTGGAGGTGGTTAACAGCCTGGTGACCTCCGTGCTATCTGTACAACAGAGCCCACACGAGATCCTCCCCAGACCCTTATGATGTCACATGCAGTCAATCTATAGACACGTCTTTATGAGCGATGTCACATGTGCTTTATGAAAGCTTCGATGTAGTCTCACTTAAGCTTTACTGTGCACACAGGACGGACTATCACCAGGAAACTTTTTCAAATGGTGCTGTGTTTAAATATGCCTAAAATAAACTGCACAGTGTCAGACTCCACACTGGCTACCGAGTTGTGCTGGCCCTATCTGCCTTCTTATCTCACTTGGACTGTTACTCTGCTGGCCGTGGTAGTCACAGAGACCCCCCCGGCTGGTGCCCAATGTACAGCTGACACCAGGGCAAGTGCAGTTCTCTTCATCTACCATGTGGTCCCTGGGATGGCTTGGTGGCGAGTGCCTTTACCATCTCATTGGCCCAATAAATTTCCTTTTGCAGGGTGTGTGTGTGTGTGTGTGTGTGTGAAAAAGGTTCCAAGGTTGACAGTAATTTTATTTTTTTAAAGATTCATTTATTTATTATGTATACAGTGTTCTGCCTGCACGCCAGAAGAGGCCACCAGATTTCATAGATGGTTGCGAGCCACCATGTGATTGCTGGGAATTGAATTCAGGACCACTGGAAGAGTAGTCAGTGCTCTTAACCTGAGTCATCTCTCCAGCCCATTATTTTGGAATTTTAAATATGTAACTGTCTACTTTAAAAATGGTTCACTGTGTGATATGTGAATTATACTATAATAAGGCTATTATTAAAAAATAAAAGACAACCTTAGCCTTTATAAAATGCACAGTACAATCACATGTCATTAGTTTGGGGTACTCACTTTATCCAACTGTAAGTGGTCTAAAAGTTTTCTGAATCCATCACAGAATTCAAGATGGTCCCAATAAACTGGATACTGCAACTGAAATAGATATTTTTTCAATTTTTTGTTTTTTGATCTCATTTTATATTCCAGCCACAGTTCTCCCTCCTACCCCCCCTTCGCCCTCCTCACCTCTCCCTTAGCCCACCCCCAGTCCACTCCTCCTCATGGGTAAGGGCTCCCATGAGGAGTCTACATAGTCTGGCACAATAGGCTGGGGCAGGGGAAACATAAAATTTATGCTAAAAACTTAAAATGCAATTCCTTATTTGAATAGTTCAGGAATCACATAGCAACATTCCCTATTGCCCAAGCTTTGCTTCTTTTTCAAAGTGTGTGAAAATACCATCATTTAAAGTTTTATCTAAAGATTTCTCTTTATGTGTTTATGTTTGAAAGTCACATGCATGTGGGTGTCAATGGAGACCAGAAGAGGCGTCAGATCTCCTGGAGCTGCTGTTATGGATGGTTATGAGCCGCCATGTTGGTTCTAAGAACTGAGCCCGAGTCCTCTGGAAGAGCAGCCAGTGCTCTTAACCACTGCACCAGGACATCTCTTCAGCTCACACACAATTTCAATGCACATTGATTTCCTTGTCAGAGGGTCAAGAGCAACCACTGCAGAATTCCTCCAGGGTAAAGAAACCCAAGTTCATTGAATTGAGAACATGAGGGTCAAAGAGCCAGGAGAACTGGAAATGAAGTCGTTTCTCAAGAACCTCCCCTGCACCCCTCACCCCATTGCATTTTTTTAAGGAACTGTTTTTTTTTTAAACAATTAGTTTTTCTGATTTCCTGTATTTTCACTATGACAAAAATAAAAAAGTATGACAGTTGACCCTAAAGAGCCTGAAAGCCTGTCTGCTAGTATTGGTGATGATGAGGACAAAAGTATAAGCAACCAACTCATTTCTGGGACTGAGACTTGTCTGTGCGCACCCTTTATCACTAAGTCTGTCTCTAACCTCCTCATCTAAAAAATACGCAACATCCACCAACAGTCTTGTTTTGTTGCTTTAAGCCTTCAGATTTATCTTGTCGTTAAAATAAAATCAATGGGATATATACTGCCATGTAAATTATAGGGTAATTTTGGAATTGGTATATTTTATTAAAATCTCTTTATGGATAAGGCTTCTAGACTATGAAGTAGATGATACCCTAGGAGAAAAGGGGATGTATTTATAAAGGCTTTGATTTGAAAGTCTTACACTAAGCTGAGGGTGTGACTCAGTGGTACACCATGTGCCATCACACACAGGCTGAGTTTAATCCCCAAGACCAAATAAGTGAAACCAAAACCCAATTCCATATATAGGTAATAAAGCTATACACAATTTAATAACCCCTCACACACACAATTAAGTCTGGGTAAAGCTGAGTTAATTTAAAAGACTATTAAAGTCAGTAGACTATGTTAACATCCTACAGGGCTGGAGAGATGGCTCAGTGATTAAGAGTACTTGCTGTTCTTTCAAAGGATCAAGTTTTGCTTCCAACATTCACATTGGGCAGTTCACAACTGATGATAAGTCCAGTTACAGGTACCCAACTTCTCTGGCATGTACATGTGCACATACACAGATGCATAGACAGAGACAGTCAGTCAGTCAGTCAGACAGACAGACAGACACACACACACAAACACAGTCTCTCTCTCACTCAAAATGAAATAAATCTTAAAAAGATATTGTATGTTAGCAGCAAACTTACATTAACATTTCAGAAGACAGACATTACAAACACAGGCTTGCATATAGGACTATTCAGCAAAGTATGGTGAATGGACAGAATCTACAACACGTGAATACTAAACACCACTCCATGGCTGTCAATAAGAATCCTGTTTAAAATCAAAAGTGGGCTAGGGACATGGCACAGTGGATGAAGTGTGTGGCCCAGGCATGAAGACTGGAGTTTGGATTCTCAGCATCCATGTGAAAGCTGGTGTGGTGGTGAGTGTCTCTAACACCAGTGCTGGCTTTAGAGGCAGATCCCCAAAATTTGCTGGGCAGCTAGTGTAGCTGAATCATGAGTTCTAGGTGCAGGGACAGACTATTTAAAAATAAAAGGTAGAGAGGCTGGTAAGAAGCCTTCACATCCCACCATGATGATCTGCACCCTTGACTGTGAGCAAAAACAAAGCCTTCTGTGCCAGCAACATGCGAAGTCACTAATAGCCCACCGCCGCCCCAGAGCTGACCACTTTCCCTTTCCTTCAGACAGTGACCCACTGGGTTACAACAGCAGCATCCACAGGGAGCTGGAGAACACAACCCCGCAGGGCCCAGAAGCCACTGCAGCTATACAAAGCTGAAGACAGGCTCTTCCTCACCAACTGTGCTAAGCACAAGTAAAGAACCATCCCCAGCCGGGCGGTGGTGGTGCACGCCTTTAATCCCAGCACTCGGGAGGCAGAGGCAGGCGGATCTCTGTGAGTTCGAGACCAGCCTGGTCTACCCAGCGAGTTCTAGGACAGTCTCCAAAACAACAGAGAAACCCTGTCTCGGGAAAAAAAAAAAAAGATCGTCCCCATAAACACTCTTATTCTAGAGAAAAAACTCAGAAGGATCAGTGGGAAACTAGATCAAGTCCTAACTCTGTTAAGAATTAATATTGGGGGATGGAGCAGGTGGGAGGGGGTTTGGAGAAATGGCTCAGAGGTTAAGAACACTGGTTGCTCTTTCAGAGATCCTCTGTTCAATTCCCAGCAACCACATGGCAGCTCACAACCATCTATAATGAGATCTGGTGCCTTCTTCTGGTGGTGCAGGCATGCATGCAGGCAGAACTGTATACATAATAAATAAAATAATACTCGGAAACAAAAAGCCTTTTCGGCGACACCTTGAGGATACTTTAAAGGAGGAAGCAAGTGCAGGGTGCACAGTTTAGTGGTATGGAGCTCTCAGTCACAGGCTTGATGCGTCACAAGAAAAATAAAACAGGAAATTATAATCTTAATTTAGATAAAAAGTTCCCATTACTACAGTTAGTGAGACGCGGAAGGGCA